CCCTTATTCCATACTTGCTTTATTCTTCATAAGTGCTTAGCACCATATAAGGAAATTTATAAAGACCTTTTAACTAGAAGCAAGCAATCTAAAATTACATACATTTTGCAAAAGGTAAAGCATGGATCTGAAGATAATGCAGGAAAATGCTCAAAGGATAAGGATAACTTGCCAAAAAGAAAACGCTCTCGGTTAATTAATAGTGTTTTTAGTGATGACGAAGAAAACATTGTTTAATTTATATTAATATGTATCACTTTAAAAAATTTTAATGAAGATATTTATCTTAATTACAAAAATATACTAGCATGTTTTTTAATTTTTGGAACCTAACCCTCCTTTTCGTATTAGTTCTTTGTTTTATATAACACGGATTCGCATAACGCGGCAATTTTTTGGAATGTAACTACCGTGTTATACGGGGGTTACCTGTACTGTAAATCAATTTTCTATATTTGAGCCATTCAAATGTCAAGAAATCTGTCTATTGCTGTTTTTGTGGGAAGTTTAACAAGGTTCTTGATACATATAATACAAATAAATTTAAATAGAATGAGCAGTTATTTATTGTGACTTTGTCACAATGCTAGGCTGCAATTTTTCGTCACAATACTTTCCTTGTGTCTTGCCCTGTACAACATACTTTTCTTGTTAACAATAGAGATATGTCAGTTTTCTATGTAACTCTGTTTTCTCCATTCAGGAGAAATTTTGTAATTGAAATAACGTGACTTCCAGTTCAAATTCGAAGTTCATAATCAGTGTCTCCTGTTGATAAGCTTTCCATATCTTATCTTGACTTTCATCTATCTAACTCCATTCTGGAGGAAGGACAGATGCCACTGGGAATTTATAGGTCTACAATTTTTGAAAATTACAGCACAAACATCCATTTTAACAAAATGTCTTATCATTAATTATTTTAAATAAAGTTCTAAGAAACTCTTAGATTTTTCTAATGTTCACCCTAATTTGTTTTATTCCTTGGCTATATTTATGAAAAACATTCAATTTTATATGATGTCAATAACATCAAATAAAATTACCAGCATTATTTATTTACTCCAAAAATATATTTGTCTATTAATAAATTAATTGATAAATAAAATGCATAAAAAGTCATTGATGAATGTTCAATGTTAGAAAGTGGCATTTATGTAATTTACTATTTGAAGAATATGAAATTTATAGAGTTACTACTAAAATATAGTTGCCAAGTCAAAGTAACAAATACATGCTCTAGATCAAAAGGCCACAAGTAGCAGTTTGCATAATGATTAGCATGTATATACATCAAAAATAGATTAGATGTCCTTATTTAAAAAAAAAACAGAAAACATACTTTCATGACTCAAGTATAATTTTGCTGTCATGAATTTTAACACTTTGATTTATTTTTAACTGCATGGTAAACTTATGCTTATTAACATACAAGTATTTATGGAACTTTTATACAATCTTCCAAATAAGCTTTCCCTGAAAATGTATACTTTTTCCAGTTTTAAAACAATTTGTTTTATTTGTTTTGATATTATTTTAAGGCTGCATTTTGCTTGGAATTTTTTCATTGACAGACAACTCTTCACTCCTTGGAAATCGTTTTAAATCCTCAGTCCATGATTGCTTATTTTTTACGTGTCATTCGAATGCAAATTATTATTGTGGTTGAAATAGTTTTAATTTTATTTCTGCACACCCGTAATGGCTGATGATTTCAGCTGTAGAAGAAAAACATGTTGTGTGTTTTAAGTACTGTACATTCTAGAGGGAATGATAATTCGGGATAAATGTTACACGGAAGCTTGTTTCCGTCGCTTCTTTATAAGCTTGTTTCCGTCGCTTCTTTTTCTTTAATTTTATAAGAAGCGAAATTGCAGACGAATTTCATAAACCGTGGGCTTAGCAATTCTCAACTCGGGATGAGACGCACGCACGTTCGATGAGAAACCGAACGATTCGTTAACATAGACGACTAACATGCGATGAAACGTTTGGAAATGTCCAGTCGATGATGGCAGTTCGAATGCGGATAGGTGCAGTGGCGTGCCGTGACATTTGATGATAGGAAGCTGTGTTTCTATAAGATGCCGACTTCCAGGAGCAATCAGTTAATTCTTTCTTTAAATGTATTTTTAATAGATTATTTATCTGACGTACTTAATAAATAAACAAGTTCAATATTATTACCTCTGTTATTAGATCCAATATATTCCATATGCCCTCTAAATGCCAATTCTTGCTTTGAATTACCTCTGTTATTAGATCCAATATATTCCATATGCCCTCTAAATGCCAATTCTCGCTTTGATAAAAACATATATTTATTTAGATATAGTATATCTATTAACCGTAACCATCTCGTTATAATTTTCATTATTTATTTTATATTATTTACTAATGTTAAATTCTATTCCGCTTCGATTTCCAAATTGCTTCAAATACGAAAGAATCGACGATTTTTCGTGTCTTTTGCCAGCTAAATTGTCAAAGACATTCTTATTCCACACACNTTTAAACGTTTATCTAGTGATATTACGACTTCAATATTTGTGGCGGACAGACGAAAAGCCGAATAAAATGACTTAAACTTGATTTTTATTTTTCCATATACTTTTTTAACAAGCGATGTATAATCGGGAACGACGTAACTCGAAACGACGTAAGTCGAGGTATGCCTGTATATGATGGTGACTTAATGTAATGTGGTTCTTGGATACAAAATATTCATATAAGGCTGTGACTTACACCAACACCCATATCATATGGCAACCACTTAACTGTAGATAGCAGTCTAATCTCCTATCTCTAGTCAAATTACATCAAATTATTAAATTAACCTTATTATGGTCTGATAATTTGGCATTACTTAAACATTGGGTTTATGGATTGTTTATACATGGTAACCACTATTTATCAACTTACTGTTCACCATACTCAGACATCACTACCGTCCACATTGTTCCAACTTTTTCTGTATCAAGATTCTTATGGCTCAAGCTGCATTTATGCAGTGACAAGTAAAAAATATAGGCACAATGAACAAAATACTGTAAATTAAGCCAATAGATTTTAAACTGCATGTATGTATGTGTATAGGTATACACATGTGCTGGACATAATAAATTCAATTCAGTAGTCTACAGAAGATGAAATAATAAACCTGATTCTGCTGCCACTGGGTCTACAGGTTCTCTGCAATTTATGCAGGTCCATACTCTATCAAAGCACATTGCAGTATATCAAGTCACCAGTGTATGTAATTAGAAAAAATTCAAGAAGTAATGAAAATAAATATTCAGCATTAAAATGATAATATTAATTTTGAAAATAGATACTAAATGTTAATGAATGTATTAAAAGTCAAATAGTATGGCAATCAATTAAGAAACAGTTTAAGTTTACATTTAAATTTTTATTTATTTTTCAGAGGATAGTCTAGTTAAAGTTGATGTGTCTCTAACTAGAGATGAAATAGATTTTTGTTATGGAAAACTGAATCAACCAATCAGTCATCTTATGGCCTATGCAGAAGATTTGGCCAGTGGATCCGTAGTTTATCGTGGCACAAGAATGCGTACCAAATTTTCATTTAGTTTGAAGATGTATGCTGATGAAGCTAAAGTATGTAGAAATTATTTAATTTTTTTTATTGTAGACAGTGCTTATTACAGAAAGTTATTTGATTCAGCTTATGTTTTTATTTTCCCAAATATTTTACCCTTTGTTTAGTTTTTCAGTTTAACAATAAATATTTGAAAAATTGTGTTGTTTAAAGAAATTTTTTTATTAAAAGATTTGATTCTGTGTATTATCATTTTATATACGTTAGTGTCGAATTATTTGTCTGATATACAAAATTAAAATTTGCATTGTATATGTTTATTTGTACATAGTTATGAAGAGATAATACTTCTAATATTATATGCTATAAACATTTTTGTTACTTTGTAACAAAATAATACTCAGTCTTTTTATGTACAGGGATCCACTCTATAGTATCACATTGTATCATGAAAATATCACAATATAAATATAATAATAAATTAGATCAGATTAGATAATAGTATAAATTTTTATGATTTATTTCAAATTTCTTGGGTAAAAATTTGTTTCCTTCATTAGAAGCTGAAGTTTACAACAAAAATATTAGTTTCATATAAAATACTAAAACAAATATTAAAAAATATTCAATGGGCTATGTGTTTAAAAGATGACTTGAAAGGGGGTGTGGGTTATACACTAATTTTAAATTGCAGTATGAACTCACATCTATGAAGTAACAGCTGATCCATAGGCATGGAGCCTATGGTAAAGAAGATTGTGCAAGGGTTTTCTTTTCATTCTAGCAATTTTCTGTGAGGTATGCCTTGTGTGCTATACACATTAAAATAATTTTTCTTTATTAGAATATAAGATATAAATAAATTAATATTTATTTTAAACTGAAAAAGCTGCTTCTTAAAATCAATGATAATGTGGTGATAGAACTGTTGAAGAATTATTGTTTGGAAGGAAATTTAATCCCTTCATAATACCAGGCTAATATTCAGGATTTGTATTCTTTCTGTTCACTATCTCTTGCTGATATCTGTGTGAAAATTACCCAAAATCATTTATTTTTGACAGTTTAATTTTTGTTTTGGAAGACCTTATCACTTCATGTAATGTTGTGATTATAAAACAAATTTAATAAAATAATTACATAGTAATTATAGTAAGCGCATCATAAATCTACTTTAATGGAACTATAGACACCAAGACCATATCCATCCTTCTATATACATTGCCAGGATGTTACAAATACTGGAAATATTGAAAATGCTTACATCTTTATTGCTGATTGCCTTACTTAATATCTATACTTCCCTACATGGTCTATGTCAGTGTTTCTCAATGGGGCCACAGACAAAAAATCAACTTTTGGGGAGCCAGAGCAAACTCTAGGGGAGCCACAGTCAGACTAAAACATTAAAATTATATGAGAATGATTAAACTTCAATAAGTAAATTATTAAAATATTATGTTTAAATAAAATAAAGTAAATTTTATAAGGAAATTTTGAACCTAAAATGCTTTATTTGTTATCAGATAATATATGTACATTTGTTTCTTGTAAATGTATGCAAAGCATACCATTTTCATTTTTTTCATACCATGAAACATCAATTTAGCATTATCATTTGTTCACTTCTGAAACTGGCACAAAATTGAGTGTGGAGCTAAACTTAAGCATTTTAAAAATTAACAGTTATATATAGTAATACTGTACACATAAATTTGAAGGTTGAAAGTTACATGCTTTAACATTATCAATATCATCTGAAATGCAAAATCTATCAAAATGAGTTATTTTTATGGGGACCACAGAAAATTATTAAGCTCAAAAGGGACAAAAGGTCAAATAAGGTGGAGACACTGGTCTATATTGTATGGTTGCAAACTAGTCAAAGTGCATACTGATTGTATGATGAATGCTTTTTACTGAAAAAGATTTACCATACAATCAAAGTGAGGGTTTTTTTATGTGCAAATGTTTGTATGTATGTGTACACATTTGCATATAAAAAATATATATATTTCTTCTATTATATTATTGTTTATACATCAATATACAATTTATTTTCAGAATAGCTAAAAACCATCTTAAAAATTATAGTTGTAAATTAATAATCACAATTACTCTATATTTTTAAATGAAATAATAACTTATGCAGTTTTTAAATTATTCATTATTTTATTCTTTTGTTTGCAAAATAATAAAAAACAGATACAGTCGATTCCACTTAATGGCATAGCATTGGGACCAAAAAGTTTTTGGGGCTACAAAACAGCAGGGCTACTAAACAAACATCCCAATCAGTTATGCAATTGAGATACAATATAATGAGTTATGTTAAAGAGCTATGCTAACGCCTGTTCTCACCAATAAAATAAACATCTGAGTGTAATAAAACCATTTTAATAATGAGAAATTATTTCTGTACAAAAATAAATTATTGCAATACAATCTAGAAAATGGGAAGATTCTCTTCCCATGATTGAGAGCTGATAAAGGAAACTGGACAGAAGTTGCGTGTGGAAAAGCCAAAAATATCCAAATTTGTGTCTCTTTTGTTTAGTTTTCCAAGAAAAATACTGTGACAGCAGGGCTACTAAGCAGAATTCTGGGGCCAGTGGGTGAAGTAAATTATGCTTGAATTATAGGATTTGATTCCATTCTTGATGTTTTGTCCTAATATGCAGCATGTCCTACTAACCGACAGGACTAATAACCGGAATCGATTGTTAGTATATAAATATGTCATAGCCACATACTGAAATTTGTCATTTCAAGAAGAGCTTAGCCATTTCTTGAAGCACTAACATATCCTGTAGTAAACATTTGTTTCAGAATATTCTAGTTTTTCTGCTCTTTTGAAATGCTAACCTGGTTTCTGCAGGTGTTGAAATAAGTATTTTAGTGTCCTATGGGACTAAAGATGGCCAAAATTGAAAAAAAAATTAATATATGTAAAAGTTGCCATCAAGGATACTTGAAGCATGCAATGCCATAATGTAAATGCCAAAAAACAAACTTCTCAGGAGAGGTAAAAACACTTTTTTAGTGAATTTTAATTTCACAATAAAATTTCACATTTCAATTTTATAATAAAATAGTAGAAAACTCACTAGGTTACAAATTCTCTGGAATATCAAAAAGACGTAAATATAAGCTTTTGTAACATTTTAAGCACCAAAAGTCACATGACTTTTGGTGTTTAAAATTGAGTGTGGAGTGCTTACAGTGCCACAATATTTTTTTTTTTTCCAGCAGAAAACATTGCATTTAAAAGCAAATTCTTCAATAAAACATATTTAGAGAAAAGTGGCATTTACATTATGGCATTGCATACTTCACTTATCCAAGTATTTGCACATTGTTTCTACACTTCTGTATGTTGTATTCAGCTTTTTTGTTTTACACCATGTGCTAATAAATCATTAAACATTACATAAAATGTATATTTCAGCATCTGTGTAATGAAAATAGACATCTGCATAAACCAGGTTAATATTTTATAAAAAAACTAGCAATGAGAGTTGTGTAACTTTCCCAGCTGTTATAAACGTTTTTTTAAATGAAAACTTACATTATTAGGCAAAAAGTAAAATTTTGTTTGGACCATCTGTTATCAGATTTTGTTATAAAAAATTTTTAATTACTATAAAATGACAAAAAAGTTTAATTTTGAGGGTAGGGGTCAGTTTTATTAAAAAATAAGTGTAAATGTTAATCTATATATATGAAAACGAATGTATGCCTGTCTGTCCTTCATCATTACTACACCATTTATCCAATTGCCATGAAACTTTGGGAAGTTGTTTAATACACTCCCACGAAGGTTTCTGGCATAGTACATTTATCCTACAATAGGTGGCTCGCGTGTATACGAGCATTTCATAGTGAGCATTTCAGTCTGGTTAGGAGTTGAAACTTGAAATTTGGTACATAGTTAGGGTACATCACGAAAATGCACACTAAGAAGGGATTTTTCAAAATCCCTCCCGGCAGGGAAAGGAAGAGGATTAAGGCTTCAACAATGGAAGTGTTAAGAAGAAAGCAATGTGCAAGATTTACAAGCACAGATGCAGTTTTTTGTGTTTTTGCACAAAATCAAACATTTTTAGACCCATCTATAAATAAAAATTTTCTAATCAGTCTGGAAACAGGGGAACCTAATTCTTGCATTCTTTGAAAACAGGTAAAATTGGCTATAATGTAATAATCTTAATCTTCGCTATCGTTACTTTTTGCCTGAGCAACGCCGGGCTTATCTGCTAGTAACAAATAAAATCTTCAATAAGTCCCATCCCTCTTGAGATACATGACCCGCTCTCTCCCCCTACCCTCTTGACCTTTCACCATCAAAATTTAATAGCATCAGTGCCCCTAATACACAAACCTCCCTGCAAAAGTTCAGAAATTTCTGACAAAAAGCATATGTTAAGCTTCAATTTGGGTGAACTCCCATACATACCGACATCTAGACATAAAGAAAAAAAACCGACATTTTTTGCATTTTTTGTTTCAAAGTCCCAAGTCCAAAAATTTTTTAAATCTGGGGAGGTCATATTTCAACTAATCGCCATACTTTCCCTCTATTATATGGACTGTTTATTTTGAAAGTAGTGTAAGTCCATTTTTGAAAAAAATTGAGAAATCACATATTATACATACAATCTAGTGTAGACTTTTTATTTATAAACAATTCACACTTAGCACTTTAAAATAACCATATGCTTTGATCAATTAAAAATTCATCGGTAAATGACATTGCATAACCATTGATTATGAAAGTGGTATAAGTCCATTTCCTGCAGTGTAATTAAGCACTTGGGCTGTCCATAAATTACATCTGCATTTTCCTTGAAACTTTTACTCCCCCGTCTTGTCCCAGTTTGTTGAAGTTTTTGTAATCCCTTCCCCTCTCTGGATGTCCAACATAACTCAACCTCCATTAAAACCTTCATCACTTTATGAATAATAGCTACCATAAGTAGAAATGAAACATACAAGAAACTTTGGAATAAATATAATAAAATGCATAAAATCTATAAAATTTAATGAAATAAATGGATGTCCGCTAATGCTCAACCCCCGTTGTCCGACCTGTCTTAACTCCCTCCCTCCCTTTCAGTGTTGACATAATTTATGGACAGCCCTTACAACAGAGGAGTAAAACTATGAATATTACCAACAAATGTACAATTTTATGGAATGGAAAAAAAATCCATGTAATAAATCTAAATGAAAAGCAGTGTCTAATGGTAAACTCAGAATAATGATAAACTTATTATAAAATAGTTTAACAATAAGTAAATATTTTTAATGTTCAGAATAAACAACACTATTTTATTTCTTGTTATTATATATAAACAAAATCAGAATAAAACACAATGTGTTTCAAGTGAAATTGAGTTTTGCATAATAGAAATTTAATGAATTTTACAATTCAATAATTATGAAAGTGGTGCAAGTCCATTTATGACCCAGAAAGAATATATTAGTTTATTAACTAAACTAATATATTCTTTCTGGGTTTAAATTCACATAGAAGTCTTTATGTAATCAACTTACATATTTCTAAAGTCAAGAAACATTGTCAAACTTAGTACTTTATTTATATTTTTGAATCAATTAAAATGAAAATGTTTGAATATCTTGAAAGAAGAAAAATGGACTTACACCACTTTCAAAATAAACAGTCCATATAACAGCCAGGAAACCAGGAAAATAAAAATGATCAGAAAAAGTAAATAAATTCTGAAACTTTTTTACAGGATGTGCTAGCACTTCAACAAATAGCTAGGTATTACTTGAAATAGAAAATTCAAGCCATATACATATGTATATGGCTTGAATTTTCTATTTCAAGTGCATTTTTCTATACATATACATTATATATGTACATAAAAAATTCATTGTATACTGCTTCAAAATAAAGTTTTGTCATCTTTATTGTAAAGTTAGTAATATCTTTTTTTAGTTCTGAGAATGGAATTAATAAACATTTAAAACTGTTTTAATTATTATGATATATTATTTCAGACTTGGTTAGAAGCAGCTTCCCAAGAAGAAGAAAAACACAAACAAGAAGTTTTATCAACTTTTGCCAGCAGACAAGAAAATCTAGACTCCACACCCGATTTATCTAATCACCATAGAACAGTCACTATGTGAACAATGTGGATCCAGTTTCAGAAATATGAAATTTGGTTATATTTNAGAAATATTCGAAGAGCGACATTGATATTTGGGTAAGACTCAATTAAACCAAAATCATGAAGAGCCTGTGGAATATTAATCGGAGATGCAGTTCCTATATTTTGTATGAGTCGTTACTTCAAACTTAAAGCTTTCAACTTCACTTGTGAATTCGTACTTTTTTAAATCTTTGCTATGTTTAATAGCGAGATCTGCAACTGATTTTTTTTAAAATCAACAACACTCATATATTGTAAAGAAGAGCCATAGAGAAAGCAAAAATCAGCCTTTTTTCAGTAGCATTTTAAAGACCTCAGGGACCCCTTCGTGGTCCTACTCGGCCGCATAGTTCGCTTACTGCTTAATCCGCCGGTGAGGTATACAACACACATGCGTACCACTATAAAGCGAAAAGTTGTCAGAATTTCTGCACGCCTTTTACAACCTCGAGACTAAGATTTTATTCGAGAGTTACCACGTCTTTAATTTAGCAATTAAAAAAATCCTCGGGCAGATTTATTTTTCCTACAAAATGTTACCTTTACAGATTTCTAGCTCTGCACACTGTAGATAAATCTAGAAATAGAGTTTTGTATATCGTAATAATATTAGTCGTCGCCAGAGAGCTCTATAAATTCGAAAACTATAAACATAAATTTAAATTTCTCAAAAAATAAATAAACAAAATTTCAAAAGTCGCTACTTTTGGCTGATTTGTCTGCGGTCTCCGCTATCTCACTATATCCCTCTAAAAGTCGCCACGGTTAGGAACACTGGTGAGCAGACATTTACGGTCTAAATAAGGCTAAATGTAATCTCCAATAAAAAGGAGGAAAAATTTCGGATTTAAAGCTATAATTTCTTGTGAACAGCAGTTTGGTCCCCCTTTCAAGTGGGCCCTATGCGAATGCACCTGTTGCACCTGCCTAGTTACGGCTCTGATGTTAAACTTAATAGATTTGTTTTCTAACTAATTCGTTTTACGACCAGGTGTTGTCCACAGTGGCGTACCGTGGGTGTCAGCCGCCCGGGGCGGAGGAAAATTTCGGTCCCCCTTATTTAGGTATTTCAATTTAAAAGACCAAAATTCAGTTTTGTCACAGAACAAGCAATGAAAAATTCGATGGTAGTGCAGCGACCTGTTTAAAATAGTTCTATTGGATATTAGTGGTGTATATGAACGCAAATGAATCGTACAAGAAAAAAAAGGTCGACAGGTTTCGCAGGAATTCATCGGATGAAAAAGTTACTAGTTTACCCGGCGAGCCGATTCCCGGACTGTCCGGACAATAGCACTATCGTAGGCGCCATACAAGTATAGATTAGGATGTTTCAAATGTTTACAAGATATTATTATTGTTTATTGTGAAATTTTGCCGCCCCCTAAAAAGTGCCGCCCCCACTACGGTACGCCACTGTTTTCCATAACGATTTCTTAGCAACGTAGCGGGAATACTTCAAAACCAATTATCGATGATAAAGTATGGTTTTAAAGCTAAACTATCGACAAAAAATTCCAAGCACACCGTACAGTACGAGGTATACGCTATCTGAACGTCACGACACTAGCGGCATCTCGTGGTAAAACCCAGAACTATGGCTACGGAATCGTTCTGTAATTAGACGCCAGTTACATAAATATATATAACAAAGGAAAAGTATGGCGATCGGTCAGAAAATGACCCCTCCCCCGAGATTAAGTATACTGTACACCCTAGGACTTCCAAAAAATGTCCTATACTGAAGCCTAATGAAACAACTAATTAACGTGCGTAATGACGGCTAACTACAGATACTATTCCACCAGAAATGGACCCACCATTGGGTGAAACTACTGAACACTGGTCATGGATTCGGGCCTCGCTAACGAGTAGGCCACGCAGAGTTTACTGGGGATTTTCTTCACGTGTCACAATAGGGGCCAGTTTCCAATAAAAGATATTCCCCCTCGTCAGTTGGCCCGTGTGTCGCGTTGTCGTATACGAATAAAATCGTATCAAACCAATCCAACAGAAAAGAACTCATGAAGGATTTTATGCAAATGCACATTGTGTCTTTGTCAACTATTGTTTTATATTATTTTTATACTGGTATAAATCTGCTAATTAACATATAAACAATTAAAATTAACATTGACCCGCTTTAGAATGATTATAATAATAATCATGGTAGTAGTAGTAGTAGCATAAGTGGGGATAAAATTCACAAATTCTATGTGTAATTAAAAGATGAAGTTTCTAGAACAAGGTTTTAATTTATAGAATATAGAAAACTGCTACTACACTACAGCATGGGTTCGAATCCGTGCGAATTCTATAAGAAATTTTCATTTGGAGCACGTCCCTAACCACCCGGCCTCATTGTTGGCCTAGCCGAACCCACGATAGGTATTGGGGAAAAGACCCTCTTAGTGTTCATAAGGCGTTTAAATGAAAAAGTGAAGGAAAAAAACACCCCTAAAAGCTTCAGAAATCAGTTCGTTCGTTTATTTATTAAGTTACGGCGATGCAACACTTAAGCGATCTATCTAGGGGGGTGCTTTCCGGAAGGTCTTCTATGCATAAATAAGGGTAACAGACCCCTATTTATGCATTACAGACGTGAATAAAATCAGGAAAACTCCACGTAATCAGTCTGTCCTAATGAAGCTCGAACCCACGACTGAACTAAACACTGGAAGTTCCCAGTGTTTAGAGAACGGAACCGCTTGGCCACTGGTGGGCCCAGTTCGTTCGTATTCTCAATTAAATGAATTTTAGATCAATGTGTAATACAGAAATTGCAATTTATTAAAAATACCGAAGAAAATGCCTTCCGGGAAGACTCTATGGGAAACTAACACTTATTTCTTTGTTTTATTAACTCATGAAGAAACCCGGAAAATTCCACGTGGCGAGGGGAGAACCCACGACCAACTACCAGTGTAGAGTAGTTTTATCCACTCGGCTACTCGTGGGGGCGAGAGACAGAANGATTGAAAACGAGCAATTATTCATTGTGACATCGTCACAATGCCGGGCTGCAATTTTTAATCATATTTTTAATTAATTTAATTCAAAACATATGCTCTTCACCTTAAATTAGTAGTGGCTTGCCCCTGTACAGTACATCATACGTTTCCTTTAACAATAGAGTCGTCTGTCTAACACCTTTCGGCAAAAAAGTTTTGAATTGACGTAAAGTGACATTCGGTTGTTGTTATATAGTTAATCGTGCCTCCTGCCCTTAAGGTTTCCATATCTTGTCTCTGATTTCATCTGCCTAACTCTTTTCTAAAGACGGGCGACAGTGGGAATTTATAGGTTATAAAAAAATGAAACAATTAATACTTTTCCCAATTTAACACATAACATGAGACAATTATGGTATTTGTCAAGCACATTTCCACAATTAATTATAGGCCGTTGGAATGTAGTGCAATTAACATTGCTTTGGTTTTCTTTGTTTTATTGATAAAACTATATTTTTAACTATAAAAAGTAGGCATATACTAGTTTTATACATTCTCAGTCAAACATTTTATTCTTTTCTTTTTTATTTGCATATTGCTTCTGTAAACAGTGGTACCGCAAATATAACCAAGAGTGCTACCATCAAATTTTCATTTTCCAAATGTAAAGATATAAATTTAAGGATATGTGGCACCATCTAATTCTCATGACTAGTTAATCTACAAATTTTAAGTTTATCTGTACATTTTTTTGTTTTCCTTGCAGAAATTATCACATTAAGTAATTCTTATCGTTTACATGATTTTAAATAACTGAATCGGAAGGCGAGATATTTCATGCAAAAGCCCGCTGTACACCTATGTAACTTACTGTGTATTTGCATTTTAATTGTTGAATGATGTCAGTTTTTTATAGATGACGTCATCGTTTCGTTACATCATTGCTTATAACATCAAAGTTGACGGCAATTTTTCCTCTGCAGCGATTTTGCTAAATTGTACGATAATAGGCCTACAGTAACATATAAGTGGACTGTCTATTTTCATGCCGTCCTTATCCCGAACAGTTTGTAGATATCTATCCTTTCCGAATGTTCTATCATAACACAACACAAGACCCTCTGTTCTATCTATAAGGAGATAGCCCGATGTAGTAAGCACAGGATTGTAAGGAGTGAGGAAATTGTAGGCTTTTAGAGGAACCCTACAATTTCCTCACTCCTTAGAAATGAAAAGAACGCCATCGAGAGAAAATAGTGCTTCGGCCGAAACAACTTGAAAGGTTAGAAATGTACAAAGCCTTCGTAGTTAACTTCAAGGAGACAGACTCTATTTCGTCAGGCTGGAGAGCGTACAAAAAGTTATAAGTGAAGGTTTCTTCTTCCAATTGTCGGACTAGTGATATCTATCACGTCTTTCTTAATTATGGATAATTAACAGAGACCGAGATTAAAACAGTTCTCTTTATTTCGGATTAGTCCCTATTCGCGCTCACGGCTTCAGTGTCTCCAACATAACGAACAAAAGGTTAGTTCGTCCTAATATGCTTTTGTTATGCACAATGATGGATATAGTGCACAATTTGTACACATCTTAATGGTGTAGTTTCTACGTATCAGTCTCTTGCACTTACTGGCATGTTTTCTTTGTCTATTTTTGATGGGCAAATGCAACGCTTTTTCCATTTCCCATAATTATCAACTCCTTATTATCTCAGGATTTTAACTTTAATACTGTATTATGGTTCATAACATGACAAAGGTCAAAACGTGCTTTTTCATTGTAGATATTTTCACAAGTTGAAACCAAAGTTTTCACAAACAAAGTAAAAGTACGAGCAATTATTTATTGTGCCATGGTCACAATGCCGGGCTGCAAATTTTTATATTTTTAAATCATTTAATTTAAAATATACGCTCGCCACCTCAAATTAGTAGTGGCTTGCCCATGTACATCATACTTTTTCTTTAACAATAGAGTCGTGCCGGCCATCTAGTAAAGAGCAACTAGTGAATTACACTTGAAGGGAGTTTTCTCATGTCAAGCTTCATTTTAATAATATTTATCATTCGATAGAGGAAAAACTACGACGACCCGTATTTTTTCTTTTCTCTCTGTCAATCGTTCGAGAGAAATAAGATACTAAAATATTTTAATGTGATGCATTAGATATAGCTCTGGTGAGAATGGTCTGAATGATTTCTTCTTTTTTGCAATTCAAGATTATAATATAATGATCAGAATGGAACTCAATGCAACCTTTTTAAATTAAACAGAAAATTTATTTTAACTCTCTTATCACTTACGTATAACTAATTAAATGCTTCTATTTTTAAACACATGTTAATACTGTATATTCATGGCAAAATCCAAAATGTATGACAGACGAGAACATTACAACGATAACAGAATAACTTGTAATTTCATATTTTCCGAAACAAAGTATTCATTCGATTACGACAAATGCCTTCATTTCATGTGCCTATCGTAAACAATTAGTTTTAAACATTGTATTTTTCCTTTACATTTAAACATTAAAAAGTAAAATCCTTGAGCAGAATAAATCTATCGACATTCCCAATCCAGATTAATGCTACCACTGCGATACACCGACATGAATTAATTAAAACTCTATTTCTCATAAACAGCTGACTCGATATAAAAGAAAAAATATGGGTCGTATATTTTTCCTATATCGAATTACATATATTTTATTAAATTGTAAGACTAATATGAGAAATCCCCTCTTTGTTAATACTTTGATTAAGTCTCATTTAATTAAATGCAACTTTCTATATCATGCTGGAGTCAATTGACAGAATTACCCAACAGATTATAAATTCGAAATTTTATTAGTTTTACTAACAAACTTTAAACGTTTGTACAAGTTATATTAACTCTACGTATAATTAATAACAAAAAAGATTACATGAAAAAGAGTTACACATATTTACAGAAAAATATTTCCAAAATCAAACGATAAATATGAATTAAAGATATTTCAAAGCATAATACATACATACTTCTTTAAAAAAAAAACTGAATAAGGTTGATGTGATCATTAAGATCATTCTCTGATTTAGCCTACATTTTGTCTTCCAATTATTACAACGAACATCGATTTTGGTTACGTAAACCAATACATATTCTTATACTAATAAAGTTGTGTGAAGGGGGTCTGCTGACGACAGTGTATAAATTTAGTGCACTCGCAGTGTGAGAAATGATATATTCAATCAATCCCTTATCAACTGAACAGCAAACCAACCCGACAATAGCAATGATAAATTCAAAATTGTCAGCATTTCAATAAGACGACATACATTATAAATAACGTTATGATTGCGACCAATCAATACATAAACTCTAAATAGGAAATAATTTCGTTCCAAGTTTTCATTACTGATTTAAATAAAACTTTGAATACGACAGATTAAATTTTTGACAAAATCTGGTTTCATCAATAACGTAAGTAGCAAATTGTGTTCAATACGAAAAAATAGGTATTATTTGTAAAATATATATCTTCAAAGAATAGATGTTGCCTGTAATTTAACTTGTACTAAAAAACGATAAATACTTTATTGGCGTAACAAATGTTTTTAACGATAAGATATTGCTTACTAAAATAATTATTAAAATGTTTCATAAATTTATAAATTACCAACAAATTTAAATTTACACACATTGGCTTTATTGCATTATCATACAACAGAATAGAACACAAACGAAACATTCGTATGATTAAATCAAACAATGTAAAAACTCTTTATACACAGTGATCGAATATTATCTAGACTACGTACGTGTTGTTTGTATGATGATATGAATTAACTTCCTACGAATCTGATGATGGCCAGATTTATGTCGATGTATTTTTACAGTCACATACTCTCGGCGATGACAAGATGTTGTACAGTTTTTATCAAAAACATAAATATAGAAGTTTCATCTGCTCAGACTATGAGATCGCTCCCTATTTTCGATTTCTTTTCTTTTATCTAGTTCGTGCAATTTTAACGAATTGGGAAGTTTACTAAAAAATGAATGACTCATGGCATCGTCCAGAGAAATTCGCTGAGATGGTTCGTATTGCAGCATCTGAGATATAAGATCAAATAACTGCTGATGATCTTCATCGTCAGACATCATATACCTCTGCAATGCAATCCTCTTCATTAGTTGCTATATCATACAGTACATTAGAACTGAATTAGTTGAATACTATTTCTAAAAATAACTTGAGAACATCAAATAAAAGGATTTAACATTTTTAAATCACTTATTTTTTATTCAATATAATTCTATAATATATAGCTTGAAATAGAAAGTTTATTAAGTTATTAATAATAGAAATTAGTTAATTATTTTATAGAACATTTCATTTTCGTTTTCATGACAAATTCCCTTAAATTTACATTTTTACAATTGAAGTAAAATCTGAGAAATGTAACTACTGTATTTCTGTGATTAAATGTATAGAACATACCACCCCTACTAGGGAAATATCAAAATATAATTATGGCATATTACTTCCTAAATAAAACGAAGTTTTTCCTCATTTACTTTTCATAAATGAAAAGTAATATTGAGAAAGAAAAAAACAAATTAAATTCCTCACAGGATCAACAATTTAACTAAATTAGAAATTTCAGTTTGTTAAGTATTCATGAACTTGTTCGTATTTTTATAAATATGAGCTATAAGATCAAATTTGACATTTTCATTACATATTTTAAAAAAACTTATAAAAGTTTTTGAATAAAATTGTATTTTTACATTAATTGTTTGAAATACTAAACAACATTGTTAATGTAATGTAAGATAGATTATAAATGTCCAAAGTAAAATGATATAAAAATGCCAAATTTCTAAATACCGTTTTATAAACAAGATATATTTCTTACATGATAATGAAGGTTGGATGACATGCTAAACAGCATTTATTATCATATGCATTATATATCAACTAATAACTGTCTTCAAGAAAATGTTTCTTCTACTCTAAATTATTTAAATTTTGTAAAGTTTACTAATAAAGCTATTTTATGTCTTGTATTTGGAATAAATTAAAAACTAATTTTTCTGTAAAAACAACAAAAATATTTGATTCTGAAAAATAGATACTTTTATGAAAACTTCCCACTAAAGAAAATCATTTATTTAAAAAGAAACTGTGATAGAATATTAACACTTACGACAAATTTGATAAAAGGCCTATTCAAAAAATACAATATGATGATTTTGCTGTTCTATTATTTCATTTATTTATTAAGACCAGTTCATACTTCATCAGAAAAGAGAAGAGAATGTACTTATTTTCTATTATTCTATTCTTATGGATATTCATATTTCAAAAGAGAAACATGCATATGTTTCTGGTACTTGCAGTTAAGTACATTTTATTTTATGTACACTTTATTTTAGACTCGCAAAATTCTTATAAACCACACAAAAATCATGAATAAAAACTTTTTAATTCAAGAAGAAAAGTGGAGAGTATTACAGTAGAGTGTTGATTATTCGAATGTTGATCAACCAAAATGTTGGTTAACCGAAAGCGTTCCAGTCAGACTATGTCGTGCTGAATCAAACGTTTTTGATACTAGATTAACTTCTAAAGTATAATTTCTTTTTGTTTTTATATTTTTCAATATATTCGTTTTGTTTGTACAAAATAAAGTAATAATTTTTAACAGTACAATAGCCACAAGTATTATTATAAAAATTTTCGTTAGGCTTAACATCAACGAAAATTCAATGCAAAGTGACACGCAACAGAGTAAAAATTTTAACATGGGACATATTAATATAGTATTATTAAGATATACTAATATATTATATTAATAATGTATTTTTTCGTACATAATTGGTTATCCGAAAAATCGATTTTCTGAACAATCCCAGTTCCCAATTGATTCAGATAATCAACGCTCGTTCTACTGTTCATTCATGAGTGTTCTGTCCTAGGACAGGTCCTTGGAAAGCAGTCAAATTATAGAATTCTCCTTCTCCAACATTCTCTATTTCGAGCTTCCTCTTTTATTTCTTTATAAGTTTTACCTATTAAAACATCACCTATCAATACTTTTCTTTTTCTTCCACTTTGTTTCCTTGCATCAATTTTTCCTTCTAATGCCACTTGCATTAATCCTTCTCCTCACAATATATGACCTAGCCAGTTATTTTTTCTTCTTTGTATTGTTTTTAAAAGAGATCTCTGTTCCTGGATCAAATTTTAAACATCTTCATTCTTAACTACTATATAACCTAATAAAAGAAATTAAGGATGATCTGAAAGGATATTTTTGATATTTTAGGTAAGTTTTAAATATCCCATATCAATGATAAATTATGATTTGTCAAACATTATGCAGATCCAATTCTAATCATTTCAATTTTATCAGTTCTGAATTTAAAGACTTAAAGGATTGTGGACTACCCAGCAGTAAGTAGCTTCTGACAGCTTTTCATACTGACCAAAAGAGAAAACAAGTATGTCACTACTAATACGTGAAGTGTTATGCACTAAACCTATTTACTGTTGTTGTTTTTCTTCTCTTTTTCATTCTCACAAAGTATGAACAAGCCTTTATGTCAAATTAATGATTTAATTTTTGGTAAACTAGCTTCAATAAAATGAAAGACATTTATTTTTTTGTATGTTAAATAAATTCGATAAAAGTATTCTGTAGTAAATTAAAATTAATTGTATTAAATATTACCTATAAAATTTACCACATTAATAACAAATTTAGCATAACAGGTTATTTGAATCTTTTTTAATAACAGTAAACAAATCATCATAAAATTTGATGGAAAAACAAATTGGTATTGCCTTAGACTATCTATGAAAAATGAGATTCTTATCAACCAATATACCTGAGGTTTAAATGTAAGACATTTTTCCTGAAAAATGTTCTATACTTAAACCTGAAGTAATGAATCAGCAAATGCTTGGAAATATTACTTTTAAATTTAAAATCAGCAGAAACACATATATTACATAACTTATATAAATATTAAATGTAATTACTTTAGTATTATTGAATAACATAAGGTAACCAACATTAAATGATAAGACATTATAAATACTATTTTACTTGGCATTTGTCATGAATATCTACAATATCACATTTTAAAAATATATAATTATTGATACATAAATTAGCACTTACACGTAATGGCTTACAATTCTCTTTAACATATCTTCCAGATGAACTTTTCTCATCCCAATCTAATCGACCATGATAAAAATATTTTGTTCTGTATAAAAAAACCATTTGTTAGTAAGCGATTTCAAAACTGTCATTATTTATATATTGTAATGAAAATATGAAACCACTACAAAACTGTTAAACTAACTCAAGGTATTAAAAGTTTCAAATAAACATAATCCACACAAAAATTGCTTACTGCAAATGTTTGGGAATCATAATATATTAATTATAGAAAGTACTGTGGAACCTCAGTATACGTCCGCTTTAGAATACGTCAAATTCGGAATACGTCCTGTTTTGACAAAACAAATTTTGCTCGGTATACGACATTTTTTCGGTATACGACTTAATTCAATTATACGCACAGTGAAGATCTAGTAAAGTTCTTTCCCAAACTCCGTCTCGTGGAGTTGGTTTCCGTGTGTATCACAATTCGATATAGTGATCCCGGTTCAATGGAAAGCACACCTCCACACTCAAGTTATACAATATTTACAGTTTATTTATAGATTCTATATGTAGTGTACAAGTTCGAAAACATAGTACAGTATATACAGGATGACAAAGCGTGGTGCCTCATGTACTAGATTGGCTTTTGGGAACTATTAAACTTTGGAGAGGCCTCAGTCAGCTTGTGGAGTTGGCTCAACTGCACAGTCCATCCAGTCTCCGCACTTACCCGTCCCTGAGATAGTTACCAGAAAAGAATGCTCTTTCTAAGCTCAGCGAGCTTCCCAAGTGCCTGAGACTACCGTGTACCAGTCTCTTGTCCTTCTCTCTTCCCTCTCTCGTTCGCTCCACAATTTAAGGGTATTTTTGGACTGGACTTCTGACCAATCACAACCTTTTCTTGCCTGAACAGCTTACACTCGGGTCCGCCGTCATTCGACGAGAATCAAGCTTACAGTAATGTCCGTCACTTGTTTACGTTTTTTAGTAGTTTACCATATGGCAAATGGTCTATCGTCAAAGTCGGCGCTTCCTTTGTTTTCCCTCTGTTTACAATCAAC